AAACTTTTTAATATTAAATTATCAAAAATTACTTACTAATATTTTTTGTGCATCTCTGCATGTGCACAGGATATATACTAGTATTTTATCAAATCCCCCTATATATTAATTCAGAACGCGCTGAGCCTACGTGGCTTCTTCTGGTGATTCGGAATCCTATCTGGCAAAATTACATGTTCCGTTATTAGGCTTGGGTAAATTTTAGTTTAATTCCAAACTAAAAATAATTAGGTTCGAATTACCATAAATATGTTGATTATTTATGGTCATGTTACATGTATTAATTACATTTCAATATCATTCCTTATTATAACTCTTGAATTGTATATATATTTTAAAAGTTAATAACTTTTGTATTTTTTATCAGTTTTACATATGTAATATATCAAATTAATCATCTTTTGATGAGCTTCGATTTAATATCTATATTGTATGTATAAAAAATAATTTATATTTATCTTTATAACAATAATAAAATTATTTTTAATATTAATTAGAAAAATAAAATTATTTATCAACTAATATATTTATATTTCAAGTAGTTATATGATATAAGTTATAAAAACTAATATAATATAACACATGTAAGTCATAAATAACACATATCATTCTAAAATATAAAGTAATATATTTTTTGTAAAAAAGTAAACTAGTTTTTTATAGTTTTCTCATTAATTTTAAAATTTAAGAATAATTTTTTAACAAACTGATAATACACGGGTGTTATACTAGTTGAATAACTAAAGTTACAAAATCAAAATATATTTTCAAATGAATAACTCAAGATTTTTAAAAGTATTAAAAAATCAAGAAATATAAATTAAATATACTTTTAGGAAGTCTTAATTTTTTATTTTTATTAATTTATTTGAATGCTTCTTCCCAACTTAGAAGCGAAGCGTTTAGAGCATGATTGGATACAAAAAATTCTCAAAAAAATCCAAACATTTTTAACTCAACTATTTTTTTAACTCAATTTTAACTCAACCACACTATCATCAATATTATCAATATAATTAAATAATATCAATCAATCATTCTTACACAACACATCAACCTTAATTCACTATTCATCCACTCACATAATTTTAACTAACCATCACTTCAAATCTTTGTTTTCCTACTTTACATCAAATCAACTTTAATCATTTTATATTAAATATTATTTTAATATATCCACTAACAATTAACCATACAAATTTAGGGATATATTAGTCACTTAGTGCCTCATTATGTAAAATTACAAAGAATTAAAGGGTTATATTAGTAAAAGTGATATTAAAATACCTAAGTTAGCTAAATAATATTTATGGAATACCCGAACCTAGATTATTAATTATTAATAAATTAATATTATTTGTCCAAACCTAATTACGAAGCATGATTCTTCGCCAAATAGGATACCGAAGCACCAGAAGCAGCCACGTATTTATATATACAATATGAATGTCAAATCGAAGATCATCAAAAGATGATTAATTTGATATATTATATATGTAAAACCGATAAGAAATACAAAAATTATCTACTTTTAAAATATTTTTATAATTCAATAGCTTATTGAAGGAAGCAAATCAAAATTTAGGGATATATTAGTCACTTAGTGCCTCATTATGTAAAATTACAAAGAATTAAAGGGTTATATTAGTAAAAGTATTATTAAAATACCTAAGTTAGCTAAATAATATTTAAGGAATACTCGGACCTAGATTATTAATTATTAATATATTAATATTATTTGTCCAAACCTAATTACGAAGCATGATTCTTCGCCAAATAGGATTCCGAAGCACCAGAAGCAGCCACGTATTTATATATACAATATGAATGTCAAATCGAAGATCATCAAAAGATGATTAATTTGATATATTATACATGTAAAACCGATAAGAAATACAAAAATTATCTACTTTTAAAATATTTTTATAATTCAATAGCTTATTGAAGGAAGCAAATCAAAATTTAGGGATATATTACTCACTTAGTGCCTCATTATGTAAAATTACAAAGAATTAAAGGGTTATATTAGTAAAAGTGATATTAAAATACCTAAGTTAGCTAAATAATATTTATGGAATACCCGAATCTAGATTATTAATTATTAATATATTAATATTATTTGTCCAAACCTAATTACGAAGCATGATTCTTCGCCAAATAAGATTTCGAAGCACCAGAAGCAGCCACGTTGGCTCAGCGCATTTTGGAATTATATATAGGGAGGATTTTAAAAGTTAATAACTTTTGTATTTTTTATCAGTTTTACATATGTAATATATCAAATTAATCATCTTTTGATGAGCTTCAATTTAACATCTATATTGTATGTATAAAAAAATAATTTATATTTATCTTTATAACAATAATAAAATTATTTTTAATATTAATTAGAAAAATAAAATTATTTATCAACTAATATATTTATATTTCAAGTAGTTATATGATATAAGTTATAAAAACTAATATAATATAAAACAGGTAAGTCATAAATAACACATATCATTCTAAAATATAAAGTAATATATTTTTTGTAAAAAAGTAAAATAGTTTTTTATAGTTTTTTCATTAATTTTAAAATTTAAAAATAATTTTTTTACAAACTGGTAATTCACGGGTGTTATACTAGTTGAACAACTAAAGTTACAAAATCAAAATATATTTTCAAATGAATAACTCGAGATTTTTAAAAGTATTAAAAAATCAAGAAATAAAAATTAAATATACTTTTAGGAAGTCTTAATTTTTTATTTTTATTAATTTATTTGAATGCTTCTTCCCAACCTAGAAGCGAAGCGTTTAGAAACTACACGACTTGCCGGCCGAACCGGACTTTGGATGCTGTTTTTATGAACTCGTCAAAATCTTTCAATAGCCCCCCTCGTTTCTTCTATCCTTTACGCCCCTGAAAAATGGATCCCGGCGGCGGCGCGTCACTGCCATCGTCCTGCCCTGACGCTCGCAAACGGCGCGTATCCTACTTCTACGAGCCGACAATCGGCGATTACTACTATGGACAGGGCCACCCGATGAAGCCCCACCGCATTCGCATGGCGCACAATCTCATCGTCCACTACTCCCTCCACCGCCGCATGGAAATCAGCCGCCCCTTCCCCGCCGATTCCACCGATATACGGCGCTTCCACTCGCCGGACTATGTCGACTTTCTTTCCTCGGTCTCCCCCGATACGCTTCACGACCACACACACGCGCGTCAGCTCAAGCGCTTCAATGTCGGGGAGGACTGCCCCGTTTTCGACGGCTTGTTCGATTTCTGTCAGGCATCGGCCGGGGGCTCCATTGGCGCCGCCGTCAAGCTCAACAGGCAGGATGCCGATATTGCGATTAATTGGGCAGGCGGGTTGCATCACGCAAAGAAGAGCGAGGCTTCAGGGTTTTGCTATGTCAATGATATTGTGCTGGGGATTTTAGAGCTGCTTAAAGTTCATAGGGTAAGGAACTTGGTCTTTAAATCCATTCTATTTTTTGGATGGTCATATATATCGCAATTTTAATGTGTAAATACTTTTATGTTTACTTGGTTTGGGGAGCATTATTTGTTCAGTTCCATTTGTTGTGGATTAATCGAACTGATTACTGGCCTGTTGTTTGTAGTCATGTGTTTAATTTTCAATATTATGCTCTTGAAATTGAGGTAATTCCTAGAATTCTAATATCACAGCCTCGTAAAGATTGAAACTTGGAGGTCATAGCGTAGCCATATATCTGCGTATATGTAATCCACACACACACACACACACAAACACACACATACATGTATACATTTTTTTATATATATATATGGGGGTTCTTGAGTAGTAACAATTTGTTTGTGTACAAGGTTATCTATGGTTCAGAGAATTGTTTAGTGTTAGACACATTTTCCTCTATCCATTTCTTTCTATTGTTTGGACTAGTGGTGTTATTTGCTTTAATCTTCTATCCTCTAGGAATGCTCCTTTTTCTCTTTGTTTGCGCTATTTATACTATGGATTACGTGTGTAGCAGTGGCACCCAATTGATAATTGGGTTTTAAACGTTGAATCAGTATCCAGTTATCATTATTTGCTAGTTTCAACTCATCTCCATTGTCCACTTTTTTATTGGCCCCCTCACCCCGTTTCCGTTATGTAAACAATAGATTGTTAATACTGGATGATCACTTAAAAAAATCATATCATATGATCTTTTTACTGTATTAATGATCCGAACTACACGTTGGAAGTTTTACGGTTGCATTTTTTGTACTTTCTAATAACATAATTTGACATAAAGTTAAACATAGGCTTGCTGTTTAAATGTTATTGCGTTTCTGACATTATATTCTAACTTGCAGCGTGTGCTATATGTTGACATTGATGTTCACCACGGAGATGGTGTCGAGGAGGCTTTTTATGTGACTGACCGGGTAATGACGGTCTCGTTCCATAAATTTGGTGACTTTTTTCCTGGAACTGGACATATTAAAGACATTGGGGTAGGTGCGGGGAAGTACTATGCTCTTAATGTCCCGTTAAATGATGGGCTCAATGATGAAAACTTCCGTTCTTTATTCCGCCCCATTATGCAAAAAGTTATGGAAGTTTACCAGCCAGATGCTGTTGTTCTTCAGTGTGGGGCAGATTCATTGGCTGGCGACCGGTTAGGTTGCTTTAATTTATCAGTTAAGGGCCATGCAGATTGTCTTCGATTCTTGAGGTCGTTCAATGTTCCTCTCATGGTTTTGGGTGGGGGAGGGTATACAATAAGGAATGTTGCTCGTTGCTGGTGTTACGAGGTCTCTCTCTCTCTCTGTGTGTGTGTGTGTGTGTGTGTGTGTGTCTCCCGTCCTCTATAGTTACATTGCCTGTGCATTTTTATTTCGTTTAAGATGGAAAAACTATGTTTATTGTGTATCCTAAATAGAAATTCAATCAAGTTGTTTTCAATATTGTCAATATCACAAAACCTCTTGGTGGTTTGCATTAGCTTGACAAACACATTCCTGTGGAGAGTGCAATTGTAAAATAAACTAAAAATAAAAAATATCAAGAGCCTTTGCTTTTCTTTTTTGTTGCTTTGATAATTTTGAACATTTAGGTTTCTTTTACAACTTGACAACCGTATCTTAAGGGTATCTTTTTAATTAATTCCTTTATTTGAATCTTTATTTGTTTCCATGAAGTTATATTCATCAACTTTTCTGGAATATCCGCTGATATACTCTTTTGCTATGTGCTAGACTGCAGTGGCAGTTGATGTTGAACCAGATAATAAGCTGCCTTACAATGAATATTTTGAGTACTTTGGCCCGGATTATACACTTCATGTGGAACCAGGCAATATGGAAAATCTGAATACAGACAGAGATTTAGAGAAAATCAGGTGATCTTTTGTACCAAAGTTTCCCTAAAAACGTGTTCTAGGACTTTTACTCATTCCAATGCCATGTAAAACCAATGCCTTATTATTTTCTTCATATTCTTCTGTTTTGAGTTCTTTGTTTATTCTCTTCATATTATTCTGTTTTCTTCAAGTTTTACTTATTCCAATGCCATGTGAAACCACTTCATGCTCATGAATTCCTTTTCTCGTTGTTTTTTTAAATTCCTTATCACTGGAGTTGAATGGAGACCTGGCTTGGAACTTCTGGGCCTTTATTTTATATATTTATGTTGCTCATGTGTTAGTGCATATTTTGTACTTATGGACAATTGTCTACTATGTTACTTTCTCCGTTCCTCCTCCCCCAACATGATTTTAGGCACTACTTATATGAAAAGCTTGAACAATATGTTAAATCATTAATAATGCCACGTTCCGTTTGCTGACCTTTTCAGTTTTTGTTATTCTCTGGGTCTCTAGTTTTAAATAGTGCCATCATATAATTAATTTGTCTGGAATTGCAGAAACATGTTACTTGATCAACTTTCAAAACTACAGCATGCGCCTAGCGTCCCCTTTCAGTACATGCCTCCAACCACAGAAGTTCCAGAAGAGGTCTGCACAGATTAACTTCTACTAAAATATTATGTTAACTTTTTATGTTTAATTCTGATATAGTGGTACGTGCTTATTTTCAGCGAGAAGATGACATGGAAGTGAGACCCAAACCTCGTATATGGAATGGCGATGCCGAGTATGAGTCTGATGATGATGAGAATGGGAAATCTGCACAGCGAAGTTTGAATGGTGAAGTTACATATGAAACAAGTACAGATATGAGGTAGCACCTGATTTTCTTGAAAAATATCTCAGTTTTCATTAAGATGTAATTAGTTGTTCCGTGTTTGAATGGGAGTGGAGATCACTCTGCCGGAACAAGAATCTCATGATGACTTTAAATAAGATAAATTACAGAAACTATCAACGCAATTTAGCCTAATTACATTAATACAATCAGGTCATCTTCCAAAATTATAAGCCCGCTATTGTACTTTGTTTTAACAATTCTTCCATGGATATATAGATGCTATTTTTAAAGTAGTAACAAATAGTAAGGGGAAAGTTGAGGTTTAACCAACTCATTAAATATTTGCTACTTTAAAATATCTTGAACAAATTTGTACCTCAAAAAAATACCTCAGTCCATTAACTCACCACCCTGACCATGGATGTTATGTATTTTTTTAAACTGAAAATGTCAAAAAATACCTCTCTTTGAAGCATGACTTCAAGCTAAACTTAATCAGTTTAAGCGGCTTGCAAATGATCATTTGCTTTCAGAAGCTTTATTCACAATAAATATCAAAAGTTTTTTTTTTTTTTTTTTTTTTTTT